CCCTCACCACCACTTCTGGTGGTAACAATAATATCACCAATTCCCTTTGCTGGTCCTGAACGGGCTATGATTTTATTGGGTGACACCCATTCGGCCGAGAGTAGACAGTCGAAACCACAAATTTTCAAACCTTTAAGAAAAATACATTATCATTTTCCAGCAAATTTAGATGACGAATACAATCCATTTCTTGTTTACCTATCAAATCTGTGGGTTTAGAACCCAAAAATTCACCACGTATTATAACACGAGTTCCAGGCGGTCCCTCTTTTGGTGAAAGACCAGTTACCACAGGTTGCGGAGCCATTAATATAGATTATTTTCTTTTCCTAAATTGAACAAATCATGTAGATTAAAAAAAAAACGACACCCTTTATTTTTTTAATAATAAACAAATCAAAACAAATAGCTATGTTGTCAAAAACGAAATGGAATGAAACAAAGCAAATTCGAACAATGCATGTCAGCAATTTTGCTGATTTACAGCAAAAATCTGTTTTTTATATGAACTAAGCATATGCATATTGTTAACAGTGATGGATATATCTATCAAGCCTGATTAGTCAACCCTGACTAACATTTCCATCATCCATGATTTGTAAACAACAAAAGAGTGAGCAGTTTTAAAGTCGAGAGAATTCATAAGTGTGAGGGAGATGCAAAATCACACGTAAGCAAATGTTTCCATCACTTTTTTCATATTGCCCTTAAGAAACTTATAGAAACTTTGTTCTACGCTATGATAGAATCCATCCATCAGTAGTGCCAGTCAAATGACTGTCACTGTTCTTGTAGGGATCGAACTTAAAGGGGGTATCTGAGCAAAATCTGCCGGAATTATATTAATATACGTGTTTGTGTGTCGAACTCAGCAAAATTAATCAAAAAAAGTAGAAAAGTAAGTCGGGCATGGCCGCCATATCACAGAGCACACAGAAAATAATATACCCTCCCCACTATGGTGTTGTAGGGTATAAAAAATACGCCACATCTGGCAACTTGGCAATTTATGTCAACAGCTGATTGCGAAAAAAAAAGAACGAATGACAGTGAAAAACGAAACAAACGAAAATAGTTGTGTTTTTTTAACGGATGCAGGCCAAGAATGGATGACGTAGCCAGTGTTCAGCTAGAAAATGAAAATTTACGGAAAATTCGCTCACGACTCCTATTGTGGGATGCTAAAAACAATGCCCTAGCTGCTTTGAATGTAACACAAGATGAATGTCTTGAGCAAATCAATTCAATATGGTCGCAGGAAGCAGAGGTAAATTGTACACAATACGAAATCGATTTGAGGCACTAACATTTTGTTTAATTTTTCCAGTTACCCTCCACGGAACAAGCTAGTGATGAAGTAAAGGATACTACTACCGATTTAGAAACAAATTCCTTGTCTCTTAGCAGTCTACAGCAATCACTGCCACCGGGTATAGATACCACCCATGATTTTTTGCTGCTGTACGATCGTGTTCATGCCGAAATACATGAGAATAGCAATGCGGTATCACATCGTTATTTGCAGCAGTTGATTACCAGAAGTACGGAGTGCAAACGTATGTTAACACAAATAGAGGCAGCCATGGGACGTTTGAAAACCTTACGTGAGGAATATGATTTTGTATCGGAAAAAACTGAGGCTCTTAATAATGCCAGTGAACAGTTGATAGAGGAACAGGAAAAGTTGCAGTCTTTGGGAGATGAAATACACAAACGTTTGCACTATTTCAACCAAGTGGAACTTTTAAATCAACGTCTACACAGTCCTACTCTCTCAGTAGCCTCAGAGTCGTTTCGTGAATGTTTGAACAAAATAGATGAATGTTTGACTTATCTAAAGGATCATGTAAGTTTCTTTTTCCAACTTTTGTTGTATGGTTTTAATCGTTATAAACTTGTTTCAGTCGAAATTTAAAGATTCTCCTGCTTTTATCATCAAATACAAACATTGTTTGGCCAAGGCTGTGACGCTGGTTAAAAACTATGTTAACACTGTAATGTCACAAGCTACCGAAGCTACTTTGCATCCCAAACAGAATAGCACGGTAAGCGGAAGTAGTAGTAGTACAGAGGCCTCTATTACCTCTCCCGATGCAGCTTTTGCTTTATACTATGGTAAATATCAAACCTCGGCGGCTAAGGTTAAAAGAGTTTCACAAATGATTGAATCTCGTATCAATGTATGTCCGGAGTATGCAAATCTTTTAGCGGAATTGCAACAGAATTATCTAAATGAAAGGGCCACCATAATGACACCCGCAGTTGATAAAGCTATTAAGGATATTAAAACTCAGCATAAGGGTGATCATTGTGCTTTAATGCGCAGCTCTTGTGCTTTTCTGGTGCATATATGCCAAGATGAGCAGAGATTGTATTACCAATTTTTCGCCTTGGAAAGCGAGCAATTAACGTGAGTAAAAGATAAGATCAAGATTTTTTTTTTTAATACAAGTTAATTTTGTTCCGTTTAAAGATCATATCTGGAGAATTTGTGTAATATTCTTTATGACACTATGCGTCCGTTTATTATTCATATAAATCATTTGGAAACATTGGCTGAAATTTGCTCAATATTAAGAATAGAAATGCTAGAGGAACATGTGCAACAAAATCGTAAGTTTTTGAGCTTTGTTTAAATCATTTCAATTATTATTTGTATATTGTTTATAGCCACTGCTTTGGAGGCCTTTGCCACTATAGCCAATCAACTGCTGCAAGATGTCCAAGAACGTTTGGTATTCAGAGCTCATTTGTATTTACAATCTGATATCTTGAATTACAATCCTTCGGCTGGAGATTTGGCTTATCCTGAGAAATTGGAAATGATGGAGGTGGAGCAAGAATTGCTTAATCTGTTTAGTGTTATTGTAAAGTTTTTCTTTTTCTGTGTATTTTAGAGTATAGCTTTGTCTTTGCAAGATCCTCCACAAATACGTCGCTTTGATTCAAGGTCCTCGTTGGTATCTACAACTTCTAATGTTACAGAAGCCGAAAGTGTTGATACAAGTGTTAGTCGTGTCAGAAATATGAGTAAGTATTTCGGTTAATGTCATATGTTTTCTAATTTTTGAAAATTCCTTTTTATATCTTTAGATTCACCGGCTGATTTGCATGGCATGTGGTATCCCACTGTTAGACGTACATTGGTTTGTTTATCACGTCTCTATCGTTGTGTTGATCGGCCCATATTCCAGGGTCTATCTCAAGAAGCTTTAAAACATTGTATACAAAGTGTCTCCGCGGCAGCCTCGAAAATATCACAATCTAAGGCAAGACGAAAGTCAAAGTTATATTAAAACATAACCATTAACATTAATTACCTTCCTTACAGACTCCCATAGATGGTGAATTATTTGAAATTAAACATTTGTTAATTTTACGAGAACAAATTGCACCCTTTCGTGTGGATTTTACTGTAAAAGAAACCTCTTTGGATTTCAGTAAAGTGAAAACTGCTGCCTTTGGTCTATTGCAAAAACGCAAACAACTGTTTTCCATGGGTAGCAATAATGCTTTGCTGGAGTTTTTACTAGAAGGTACACCACAGATAAAAGAACATTTATTGGATTCACGCAAAGAAGTAGACCGTCAATTGAAATTTGTTTGTGAAAAGTTTATTAAAGATTCGCTGCAAACTTTGGCTGCTCCACTAGTAACATTCCTGGATAAGGCACAAGCGGTGGTGAATACTGTCCAGCCAGCCGTAAACAAGGAGCAACAGCAGCAGCAAACACAAAATAATAAGATAAACTATGCATTAAGGCAAAGTGCTTGGGCCAGTCCTCAACAGATAAGTAGTGTTATACAGGAGACACAACGTTTGATCAAAAGCAAACTGCCCATGTTGCAGCGTTCCATGCAATTGTATTTAAGCAATCGGGATACTGAATTTATAATATTCCGACCCATAAGAGTAAGTTTTAGTGGAATTAAATTCAGAAAGTTTTTAAATATTTGCTTATTTTTTTGTGCGTTTTAGAACAACATTATACAATCTTTTGTTAAACTCGAGCAATTATTAACCACCAATGGCTATAGTCCAGATGACATGATTATTACTAGTTGCCCTTCTGCAGAGCAGGTCTCCATTATACTATCCAGCGCTAGTATTTTAGCAGCCGATGCCATGATTAATTTCTCAGCAGTTCAACGTAAAACAAGTGTAGCTTCTGTAGACAACAGTATTTTGCCCACAAATTCCTCTGAACAACAACAACCACAAAGAAAAATATCCCTAGACAAAAAAGTTAGTTTTGAGGGTTCTACTGCAAAAGAAGCCATGGAAAATTTGCCCGAGCTAACAGAGTCCTCTGGCAATAATAGCAGTGTTACCTCACCAACAGCACTATCGCCAGAACCTGCTCAAAGTAACGATATGCCAGCAGGCAATGATATAAACTCTACCGCTGAATAGTTAGGACAATGTTATTATACATATTACACTTATAATTATACTTATATTTTATTTTTATTAAACTACACAATAAAACATAAAACATACAATAATAATAATAATATAAATAATGTTAAAAAAAACTTTCTTAGTGTTTTTATGGGTTTAGAAAAAAGTTAATAATAAATTACGAGTTTTAACAATCTCTGCAATAGAATCATTTACTAATTAACTATAGTTCTATTTTAAAATTCATAAAGATCTACAAATTTAAAATAATGTCTAGTTGATGTTGGTCTACTAAAGCGCTGCTCAGGCAAATGTCTCAATAAGTTTTTGTTTTTCTACATAGCTGCTAAATAAGTCACTGTTTGAACTACGATAAAGAGCATTTGTCTTTGCCAGAGTTTTGTTGCTGATCATTACCTCCCACTGGGACGGTAGTGTTATTGCGTCGTTGTGTATTTGTGGCGGCAGCTGCTGCTGCCGTTTCATTCCGTCTATTGCGATCGTTGGTTTCATCTAATTCCATAATGGACAAGGCAATGGCACGAGCTAAAGCTTCATCCTCTGACTGTAAAGAAATTGAATTTAGAATATGTTTTGTATAAACTTGACTACAGACTAGAGTTCTAACTATAGATAAAACTATAGTTCAGACTATAGGGTAAACTACAGTCCAGACTATGAACTTCAGTCTATATTCCAGGCTATATTATCTTCCAGACTATGTGTGCTATAGTCCTGACTATGGACTAGGCTATAGTCCGTACTACAAACTGGACTATTATCCACACTAAAGACTAGAATATTGACCACACTATAGGTTATACTATATTTTATAATCTGGACTCGTCCATATATATTGCCTTTCTTCAGAACATAATTGTATGCAATAATAACAAAATAAACTTACTATGTTTCCCTGAATAGTTTGCATTTGACTAGAACCTGCCGTCAAACGTTGTGCTGCTGCTGCTCTGACTGCAGCGGTAGTGGGTTTGGGTGCAGTATTAAATAAAGTATTTGGTGGTTTTTGTGTACGTCGTTGTTCGGCAGCTTTCCTATAAAAGTAAACATAAAAAAACATGTTATTAATTAACTAGATTTAACACAGATTTTCTTGATACTTACGCTGCCATATTCCTTTTTTGATCAGTTTCATTTTTTAATGACGATGACTGGCATTCATGATCGGCGGTGTGACGATGACGCAAACAAAAGTTACGTTTGCATTGGGAACAGTTGACTGGTATTAATTCTTTTCGTTTGCAGTTTTTATAGGAACAACGGTTGGTGAAAATTTTTCGAGAATCCGATTTACATTGTTGGTCGATGTGTTGTCCCACCGTCAAATCCGGTTCAACACCAGGGGCAGTTGGTACGGGTTCACCACACAGTGGACATAACGGCACTTGATAATCTTTGCGCAAACCGGAGGCACAATTGTGCTGTTCATAGTTAAAGTGCGAGGAACAAAATACTTGATTGCAAGCATCACATTTCATGGGTAAAAAATCTCAAAATAGAACAAATACCTTTAGTATGTGAAACTGGTATGTATTCGAAAACACTTCCGTGTTTGGAAAAGTAGAATAGATATACTTACCAAGTCTGTTGCATGTTTTTTCATTGCAATGTTGTCCTAAATGTGGAAATTCCATGTTTATGCTTTTGTTAATAAACTAATTATTACTGGAATGTTGAAATTTAAAATTTATTCTAAAATAATCTCGAACAATTGGAACGATATGACCACTTTTTGTTAAAAATTGCACCAAAACAAAAGATGACTAAACAAAATATCTGCAATTTATACAAAATCCTAATGAAAAATAAATGATGTTTGACATTTCGTCAGACACCTACGTCAACAAAAATTTTCTACAACGGCGATAGCTGACAATTATAACTCTGCGGCGGCTAAATAATGTTAACGGCGTTGAGATTTTCACAGTTTGTTTTATTTTTTTCCAATGGTATTCATCACAGTGCAATTATGAACTCAAAATTAATATATTTCAAAAAAACAAATAATATGGAAATATTCGCTAAAATAAATCCTTAAATAACGATCAATTAAAGCAATTAGTAAAAGTCTGTAATCACTCAACTCAATCACGTATCTAAAAACGCAAAATCGGATATAGATCCTTAAATGATGACCAAACAGATATAAAGTCTTAATTTCCATCATTGGCTGTAGATCCTTAAATAACGCTCTAATCAACAAAACGGTGAAAATCTGTGATCACTTGTAATTTCCATCAAAAACCGACTTTTATATGAACAACATAAAATCGGCTGTAGATCCTTAAATAACGCACCAATCGAAAAAAACAGTTAAAATCTGTGATCACTCATATTTTCCATGAAAAATCGATTTTTATATGAAAAACATAAAATCGTCTGTAGATCTTAAATAACGCTCCAATTTACAAAACAGTTAAAATCTATGATCACTCATATTTTCCATGAAAAATCGATTTTTATATGAAAAACATAAAATCGGCTCTAAATCCTTAAATAACGAACCAATAAACAAAACATTGGAAATCTGTGATCATTTATAATTACCATTAAAAATCGATTTTTATATGAAACACATAAAATCGGTTGTAGATCCTTAAATAACGCTCCAATCGACAAAAGAGTGGAAATCTGTGATCACTCATATTTTCCATAAAAAATCGATTTTTATATGAAAAACATAAAATGGGCTGTAGATCCTTAAATAACGCTCCAATCAACAAAACAGTGAAAATCTGTGATCACTTGTAATTTCCATGAAAAATCGATTTTTATATGAAAAATATAAAATCGGCTGTAGATCCTTAAATAACGCTCCAATCGACAAAGCAGTGAAAATCTGTGATCACTCATATTTTCCATGAAAAATCGATTTTTATATGAAAAACATAAAATCGGCTGTAGATCCTTAAATAACGCTCCAATCGACAAAACAGTGAAAATATGTTATCACTCATATTTTCCATGAAAAATAGATTTTTATATGAAAAACATAAAATCGGCTGTAGATCCTTAAATAACGCTCCAATTGACAAAACAGTGAAAATTTGTGATCACTTGTAATTTCCATGAAAAATCGATTTTTATATGAAAAACATAAAATCGGCTGTAGATCCTTAAATAACGCTCCAATCTACAAAACAGTGAAAATCTGTGATCACTCATATTTTCCATAACAAAATCGATTTTTATATGAAAAACATAAAATCGGCTGTAGATCCTTAAATAACGCTCCAACCGACAAAACAGTGAAAATCTGTGATCACTCATATTTTCCATAACAAAATCGATTTTTATATGAAAAACATAAAATCGGCTGTAGATCCTTAAATAACGCTCCAATCGACAAAACAGTGAAAATCTGTGATCACTTGTAATTTCCATGAAAAATCGATTTTTATATGAAAAACATAAAATCGGCTGTAGATCCTTAAATAACGATCCAATCGACAAAACAGTGAAAATCTGTGATCACTCATATTTTCCATAAAAAATAGATTTTTATATGAAAAACATAAAATCGGCTGTATATCCTTAAATAACGCTCCAATCAACAAAACAGTGAAAATCTGTGATCACTTGTAATTTCCATGAAAAATCGATTTTTATATGAAAAACATAAAATCGGCTGTAGATCCTTAAATAACGCTCCAACCGACAAAACAGTGAAAATCTGTGATCACTCATATTTTCCATAACAAAATCGATTTTTATATGAAAAACATAAAATCGGCTGTAGATCCTTAAATAACGCTCCAATCAACAAAACAGTGAAAATCTGTGATCACTTGTAATTTCCATGAAAAATCGATTTTTATATGAAAAACATAAAATCGGCTGTAGATCCTTAAAAAACGCTCCAATCTACAAAACAGTGAAAATCTGTGATCACTCATATTTTCCATGAAAAATAGATTTTTATATGAAAAACATAAAATCGGCTGTAGATCCTTAAATAACGCTCCAATTGACAAAACAGTGAAAATTTGTGATCACTTGTAATTTCTATGAAAAATCGATTTTTATATGAAAAACATAAAATCGGCTGTAGATCCTTAAATAACGCTCCAATCTACAAAACAGTGAAAATCTGTGATCACTCATATTTTCCATAACAAAATCGATTTTTATATGAAAAACATAAAATCGGCTGTAGATCCTTAAATAACGCTCCAACCGACAAAACAGTGAAAATCTGTGATCACTTGTATTTTCCATGAAAAATCGATTTTTATATGAAAAACATAAAATCGGCTGTAGATCCTTAAATAACGATCCAATCGACAAAACAGTGAAAATCTGTGATCACTCATATTTTCCATAAAAAATCGATTTTTATATGAAAAACATAAAATCGGCTGTATATCCTTAAATAACGCTCCAATCAACAAAACAGTGAAAATCTGTGATCACTTGTAATTTCCATAAAAAATCGATTTTTATATGAAAAACATAAAATCGGCTGTAGATCCTTAAAAAACGCTCCAATCTACAAAACAGTGAAAATCTGTGATCACTTGTATTTTCCATGAAAAATCGATTTTTATATGAAAAACATAAAATCGGCTGTATATCCTTAAATAACGCTCCAATCAACAAAACAGTGAAAATCTGTGATCACTCATATTTTCCATAAAAAATCGATTTTTATATGAAAAACATAAAAAAGGCTGTAGATCCTTAAATAACGCTCCAATCAACAAAACAGTGAAAATCTGTGATCACTTGTAATTTCCATGAAAAATCGATTTTTATATGAAAAACTTAAAATCGGCTGTAGATCCTTAAATAACGCTCCAATCAACAAATCAGTGAAAATCTGTGATCACTTGTAATTTCTATGAAAAATCGATTTTTATATGAAAAACATAAAATCGGCTGTAGATCCTTAAATAACGCTCCAATCGACAAAGCAATGAAAATCTGTGATCACTCATATTTTCCATGAAAAATCGATTTTTATATGAAAAACATAAAATCGGCTGTAGATCCTTAAAAAACGCTCCAATCGACAAACCAATGAAAATCTGTGATCCCTCATATTTTCCATAACAAAACCGATTTTTATATGAAAAACATAAAATCGGCTGTAGATCCTTAAATAACGCTCCAACCGACAAAACAGTGAAAATCTGTGATCACTCATATTTTCCATAAAAAATCGATTTTTATATGAAAAACATAAAA